ATAGGTGAATATACGAAGGATTTGTTGGGATTGATATTCGAATGGTATTTTAAAATATATATATACGAAATGGGTACTTGGGGTTGCAGTGATTTAGAATGAACGAAGAATGAAGGAAAAACAAAATTTTCGAATATGGTTCTTCTAGTTTCGATTTTTTGTCAAAAGATAAAGAACCTTGGTATGATTGTTAAAGCTTTTGTATAATTTTTGAAAAAGATTGTATGATTTTGGACAAAAGTAAATGTTTCGAATTTGACCCCTGAACCTTCAAAGTTTTGACACTTTGAAAATTAACTCAACTTTTAAATGTTTGACACTTTTCACCCAAATTCGAAATATTTTGGGAGCTTCGTATACTTGAGGGATTCTTCGTATGATTTGGGCACAAAGAGCAAAATTGTCGAAAATAGTCACTGATGTTTCGAATGTTTGGCGGTTCGTACCCAAATTCAAAAAAGGATTGTTTTTGCTGAAAATTGAAGAAAGTGCATTTCAGGCCCCTGCAGTTTGTGCAAATTGACGCTTTCTACCCAGTTTTGGAAAAGGGGGAGAGTTTTGCATATTTTGCTGTTTTAGGCGCAATGGGTCACTGCAGAATTTTGAAATTGATAATTTCTACCCATTTTTGAGAAATTTTGTCAAATGCGATCAGCAAACGAAGCTAAAAATTGAATATTTTTTTGGATTTTCTGGATTGAAGTACAAAGTTTATGCCACATGTTAAGTTAGAGTTTTGACACAAAAAATTCCGAATAGAGCACGTTATTTTTCCTTGAAGGTTTTATAATCAAATTTTGATTATAAAAAGGGGGAGAAGTTTATACAGAAATTCGAATTTGAATTTTTCATATTACACGGATTTGAAAACCGAAGTGATCTTGAAGTTTTAAAGCCTACGGATGATGCAATTGGAAGTTCGGAAATGATGTATTCGAAATGGGTTTTGTTTTATTGAAGATTTTTAGGGTGTGCTTTATGCTCAACTTTTGGTGATCAATTTGGAGTTTAAGAAGCTCGTGATCATTTGTTGATGCTCGGATTGTATAGTCTCACATCCTAGAGCCCAAATTGAAGAATCATGGAAGAATTAAAGATTGAAGTTTGTTTCAACATGTGTCACCTTTGAGGCTCGAACCGCATAGTTGCTCGACTTTGGAGGAATTGAAGTGGATCATTCATTCCTAACTTTGAGGGGGAGAATGTTGGGGTACAAAGTTATTCATGATTAACTTTGTAAATGTTTGACTTTTGTAAAACTCACTTGCATGTGGTGCATTAGCCTTATGACTAATAGGTATTTTGAGAGTGAGAGAGAGAGACATGTAAACACCTCTGTATAAGGTGGGTTCATACCACTTGTAGAGGTGTGCTTGAGAGATGTAGTCATAGTGATCAGTGAGTGAGATATTTATGAAGTGTTAGACAAGATCCCTTTTGTACTCATTTACTATGATCAAATATATCTTTTAGCACCCAAATCACCATGTTTAATTGTGTAAACTTTAATTCCGCATGCCAAACCATGTTCTTTGTCACTACAATATAGCCCTCACTCCCCTCAAATAGGGCCAAAAACCCCAAAATTAAGGTTTTACACGCAAGGGTTGTCACATCGTGACCAACATGTTGTCATGTTGTGATAATCCAATGAGATGCACTTTCATCTCTGACCACCATCATGTCGTGACATACATATGGTCGCGTCGTGATGGTGTTTGTATAGTAGAAGAGAATACCAAAACAGAGAGGTTTATGCTTGACATTGTGCTTCTTCATCGCCAACATAATAGATTCGAAATGGTTGTGTTTGCATAATCAGAATTGAGAATGGAAATATGTTAATACCCTTTAGACATTTTACTGGTGACACAAAAAATAATGACGACAACTTAAAGATCAATAGTAGCAATGATGAAATATGTAGCACCTGGTTCGTGGTACGTGAGTTTTACCTTAAGTATTTGTGTTTTTGGCCGTGGACTCGGTGAGTTGGAGGCCCGACTCGCTGAGTAGAGACGAGACTTTGGGGTGCGGATAAGATGGCGACTCGACGAGTCCATATTAGGGACTCGGCGAGTCTGCGCTGTTTGATGAAACCCTAATTTCCAAGGGTTTGCACCCTATTTAAACACCCATTTGCGCCCCAACTCCGCCCCATTCACCCCCCAGAAGCCCTCCATACATCCTGGTTCTTGTTCTTGTGAGTTTGAGGCATTTTAGTGTGTGTTCTTGAAGATTTTGAGAAGGAAGTGGAGTAGATCAAGAGGAAGGGAAGGAAGCCAAGCATCTTAGTGTCCTCTCAGTGATTTCCTTGAGGTAAAACTCGTTTTGCCCCTATCTATATGCTTATAACTCCATTAAAGTCTTCCTTGAGCCCTTCCCCAAGCTTGTATGTGCATCATATTTCGTAATAAGTTGATTGGCCTCTAGATCTAGGCTTGGTTGAGCTCCAGGAGCTCAGATCTACTACCTTTATGGACCCATATTGCATGAAGACCTTAGATCTACTCTTTTGGTGCATTTTGAACCCTAAAACCCTCATGGATGAATATCTACACGTAAAGTTGGAAACTTTACATGTTATTCATGCTCTAGGAACCCTGATCTATGAATGGAATGGACTATATTCGAGCAAAATCACGTATATGGCTCTTGCATGGAGCAGACTCGGCGAGTCGCTCATCTGACTCGGCGAGTCTAGTCGCGAGTCTCCGAGATTGTCCCCTTTTTGTTGTGTCGAGTTGTGTAGTGAGTCCAGGGTGGACTCGGTGAGTTGGAAGCCAAAACTCACCCATAATGGAACTCGACGAGTCGATGCCCAGACTCGGCGAGTTCAAGGCAATCTCCTTAGATCAAGATCAGACTCGGCGAGTTGTTCATACAACTCGGCGAGTCACAGTATAACTTGTTCATCGGATGAAGATGAACTCGACGAGTTGTTCATACAACTCGGCGAGTAGGATGAAGGACTTGAACATCAGTTTGGAAGGAGAACTCGTCGAGTCAACGCCTAACTCGACGAGTAGAAACAGAATCCAGGTCAGTCGTTTGGACATGGACTCGGCGAGTTGGCGAGCCAACTCGGCGAGTCGGGTCAACTAGAAGTTGACTCTGACTTTGACTTAGGGCATGATCAGGGGTAAAATGGTCATTTTACCCAAAGGACAGTTAGTAGTTTTTGACTAAGTGTTTGGTGGGAATTACATCCGGAGGATTTCCGGAGCAACAGCAGCAGCAGTCAGACTATTCCCACACAGATCAACAGCTACTCCGAGGTGAGTTACCTTCCAGTAACGGTGGGTCTAAGGCCACAATGCCGACCCACCAGTAGGAGTTGTATGTTAGATGATTGTCTTTGTGATATTATCTAGGTTTGCTACTACCTTATATGTTATGTGTTGGCATGATATGTTGTATGTGATAGTAGTAGAGTTCGGTTGTTAGGACCGAAGGGTAATCAGACACCCCATATATGTCTGATATTATGTTTGTGTTATGATATATGTGATGGTAGTAGTAGGGGGTGAAATAGTCCCCGAGGTTCGGTTGTTAGGACCGAAGGGTAGTCAGCACCCCATAATAGCTCAACATGGGTAGGTCAGCACCCCAGAATGGCTTGACACGGGTAGGACGGCACCCCAGAATGGCCGCACGGGTAGTCGGCACCCCAGAATGGCCGTACCGGGTAGTCAGGCACCCCAGAATAGCCTGGCAGTCTGTATGTTATGTATTGTATGGTATGTGGTACGATGGAGGAACTCACTAAGCTTTGTGCTTACAGTTTACAGTTTTGGTTTCAGGTACCTCTTCATCGAAGGGGAAGGAGTTAGCACGGTAGCGGCACATCATGCACACACACTGGTTTCCGCATCTATTAGATTTCTCTGGGATTTATACTCTGATATTTCGATTGGTTGTATGACTTGACTTTTGAACATGGTTTATGTTGTGATGTAGTTTGATCGACAATGTTTTTATTTATCAACGTTTTCTAAAGTAATGTTTTAAAAACAAAATTTTTAGACGTGAAAATTGGATTGTTACAAAATATCTGGTGGGAAATATTCATGCTTTTTATTTTCGTGAGCATTAGTGGCCAACAACTAGTCGACGGTATTGTGTTGATGAGTATGAATCAATATCGTTGGATCGATCTTATGGACTGATTAACTAAGACTAAAACACATGGATTTTGAGCATTAGCGCTGAAAACCAAATACTGGTGACCTCTTAATTTAGTTGAGACATTGGCATTAACGACGACACCAAGCGCACCAAGTTGGTGTTGACGTCGCTATGAACCGTATCGGTCCAAAATGAAAATAATCAACACACAATTTGTAAATATTGTTAAAACCACTATGCAAAACTTTTTCTGTGTTTGCAAAACGCATCCAAAAAGGGAAGAAAAATGCAGTGTTTGAGAAAAAAATAATAATAAAGACTTGTTTTTTTTTTTGTTATCTATGCAATTTCATTGTTCAAGAAATATATTATTTGCGAAAATATTGGGAAGAACGGTCTTCGTGCAAACTAAGCAATTTGTAGAGAATTTCATTGAGAAATCATTGGAGAAATATGTAGATTGGCTTTACAAAGTTATGGTATATAGTATATTTAGGTATTCCATGCAATTTCACAAATCCTTTCCCACGAAATAAATGCTCATGCTATGATCAAGATCATAAAAATGTTTATATTGTATTATAATAAATTTTGATTTTTTTTTTTTGTGTCATCCCTTTAATTAATTGCTATGAAATTATTTTTGCAAGTTATGGCCGAAAAAGGTTAATAAATAAAGAATTTCCAAGGTGGCTGCTGATGCAATGATTTCTTGTGTAGGTTAGTCATACTCATAGCCCTTATAAATATCCAATATCCCCTCTCCTACGACACTCACCTCACTTCACCTCACCTGTCACTCTCTCTTCCTCAAAGCAAACAAAACAAACAATCGCTCTCTTCCATACTTGTAGTTTACACACCCAAATCTTATGGCTTTTGCACTCAAATCTCTTTCCCTATCCTTCGTTTTGCTGCTTGGCTTGATTCTTCTCCTTCAACTCTACGGTCTCTCTCTCTCTCTCTCTCTCTCTCTCTCTCTCTCTCTCTCTCTCATCATCATCATCATCCATTTTTTTAACTCTGAAAATGCTTTAAACCAAAGGGCGTTCTTCTCTTTGTATGCAGATGGCCTTAATGGTGCAGAAACGACCTTCTCCTCTGTCGCTGCATTGAAAAAATTCAACAACAGGAAGGTATATATATATATATATATATATATATATATATATATATATATATATATATATATATATATATATATATATATATATATATATTGTTCATGCATAAATATATGTAAACATGCATGGATAGTATACAAATATTCAAAAAAAAGCAAATCTTGGCTCACCATTGTGAATACATGTATATTTGTGTGTGTAGTTATTGGTGGTGAATGATTTGCAAGCAAAGGAAGCAATTTTCAAGATTCAGGGGAAGAAAGAGGAAGAGGAGGGTTGGGAACTAAGGGCAGCTCCGTTAGGTCCGGACCCTCTTCACCATCATGGTGCTGACCCAAAGAAGCCACGAACTCCTTAAGCCAAAATGATGTCTTATTACTTAAGAGTTGAGACCATCTTTTTTGGCTGTTACGTTGCAGATATAGTATAATATATACATGCAATGACGATAGGCGGATGGATGAAGTTTTTGGTTGACTTTTATTTTTTGTTTTGTTTTGTGGTTTTGATCATGTGAAGTATGTATATATAGCAGTATCTTGTGGGAGTTGTAATGTTTAAGGTTTTGTAAGTTTGTTTATGGTATGAAGTAATATATGTTCAGAAGAAAACAAGAGGTCTGGAAGATATAAGGAACTCAAATAGTGTAAACATTAATTAGTCTTTAAAAATGCAACAATTAGGTTAAAGAATCATTTGAATATTGGATATAAAAGGGGCAACTAATGGTTGTGTTTTTAACTTTTAAAGGTTAAATCGGCAATAGTTTAATTAGAACCAAGCGTCATAATATTTTGATTTGAGTCCTGGTTATAAATGGAAGATGTAAAACCATGAACATGGTACTTTTAAATTGTTATAGACATTGTCCTAATTTTCCATTTTCGAGTTAAGTGGCGGTCTGATTCCATAAGTTTAGTAAGGGTGAGGACGTTTTTTTCTACTTGACTTTCGCTTAAAATTAAATCCGAACTAAAATTTTAGGTACGTATCCCAAAAACGGATTTCACTCTATGTTTTTGCTTTTTATTTTAGTATTTAATCAAATTGATTTTTTGGTTTTTGGTTTTCTAAAAGTACTGAGCCAATAATTATTTAAATGATTTCTAAAAAAAATTCGTTAGTGTTTTGCTGAGTGCAACATTTACAATTTACTATTGTAGAAAAATAACATTTACAAAAAAGTTTTGGTTAGCTATTGTTCTTTTAATAAATATTTACTGAAAAAACATAGTTTAGCATTCAAAATTTACAGAATAATAATTAAAAGTTCAAAAAATAATAATAATAATAATAATTCCGACGTTATATATGTAATAAGGACCATTTTTGTAAATTTTATATTAGACAATGACCTTTTTTTAGCTTTGTGGAACACAGGGACAAATCATGTAATTTTCTTATTAGAAAGGGACCTTGTTTGTACATCTTTGTAATTTTTCTATTAAAGCAAGGATGCTTTATACTATCATCAATTCTGTAAGCGAACTAAAAGTTCGGTGAACTGTTCGTGAATTGTTCGGCGGGAAGTTCGTTTATATTTGTTTATTTAATAAATGAACGTATATGAACAAAAATTATCGTTCGTTTAGTTAAATGAACGAACATGAACAATGGTCTCGTTCGTTGATTTATGTTCGTAAACGTTCGTTTATGATGTTCGTTTACGTTCGTTTATGTTCGTTCGTTTAAGTTTATTTATATTCATCTATATTCAATTATTTTTTATTATATTATATTATATCTTCGTTTATGTTCATATATGTTCAATTGTGTTTTTTTTATTTTTGTTCGTTTATGTTTGTTCGTTTATGTTCGTTCGTTTAGCATGTTCACGAACATAAATGAACGAATGTGAACAAAGTAATTTATTAAATGAACGAACATGAAAAAGAAAATCTCGTTTGTTTATCCGTTCGTGTTCGTTTGTTGTTCGGCTAACTTAAACGAACGAACATGAACAAAACCTTGTTCATGTTCGTTTGGTTCGTTTACAGCCCTAATCAATTCTATAGGCGTTTTATTTTGGAAATTTTCTAAAAAAATCTCTTTATAATCGATTAATTAGAGACAGTTTAATTTTTTTAATAGAAAATCCTAAGAAACCACCAAAAATTTTCATTTTAGCCTTTATTGATATATTCAATAGGTCGTATGAGCAAATCGTTAATTTTTCGAAAATACAAGGTCGGTTCTAAGAAATTAAATATCCTTAAAGGCCCAGAACGAATAAGAAAAAAAGAGTCATTGTCGTTATTATAAATTGTTATTTTTAAATAAAAATATATAATAAGAAATTGGGTCATGTACGTCTGCCCACTCCCCCCCCCCCCCCCCCCCTTTCAACGCCACCCATGCCAAAATAATGAGTGCACATTTCCTACAAATTTGTATATAATATATAAATATATGATAAATTTAAGTCACCATGCAAACGCCTAATAATATTTATAGGGATGTTAAACGGGGGCAAACGGGACGGGGAATGCATCCCCTACCCCCACCCCCGAAATTTCCACGTTTCTCCGTCCCCGCCCCCGACTCCCCTTTATTACCCCTGCTCTCACCTCTGTTACCCCGTCCCCGAATGATTTTGGGTTGCTTTTTTTGGGGTTAAAAGAAGTTGTTATTTAGGCTAAAAGAAACTATTTTTTAGGTAACAAATAATAATTTATAGCAGAATTTACATGTTAAAAATAAAAAAAGTTATGGCATCTTAAAAACATTATACTGACAACTTAAAAACATGTTTTTTTGATGAATTTTGGAAGCTCAAAATCATGTTATTATTTATTATATTTATATATGCAAATATATGTGTAATTTATTAATGGGGTCCCCATGGGGGTTTCAGGACGGGATTACCTACCCCCGCACCCACCCCCGAAATTAAAACGAGGGTTAACATTGCCCCGCCCCAGTCCCCACCTCCGATTTTTTTTAAAAAATTCCCCCAAACGGGATGGGACCCCCACGAAAACGGGGTCTTATGGGACTTTTTGACATCCCTAAGTATTTATGATTGAATTTGGGATGGTTCCCAAATTAGAGACGATAATGGTTCTTATTATTGGTCATTGGTGTCCTCTAGGTGGTTCTCAAATCGGAGACCTTCATAGTATTTATGATTGAATTTTTCAATCATCAGTGAGTCATTAAAAAACAAATCCCTAGAACTTTATCAACTTGAAAGGCATAAGACTTGCAAGGTTAGTCAAAGAGTACAAGCAGAGGGCCACACTTGGGAATGGAGAAAAACCCCTGCATATGCTAAACAAATTCATAGTCTTAGGATGTTATATGATGTCATTAGAGAACACCAGCCAACCCCAAAACCTGATACATGGAACTGTCCCTTATCGGAGGATGGTATGTTTCACGTAGAGGTGTGTAACAGCCCGGAATTTCCATGTATTTATTATTAGTGTAGTTTTGGAGAATTATGAGTGGACTCGGCGAGTTGGAGCTCAAACTCGACGAGTAGGCTCGCGATTTTGGATGCGGGTTCGCGTCTGGACTCAGCGAGTCAACGCTGTTTAATGAAACCCTAATGGCCGTCATTTGCGGCCACCACCCCCTAGAGAGAAACCCTAAAGAGATTTGAGCGTTTTGGGAGAGAAAAGAGGCCATTATTGACCTTTGAAGCTTGGTTTGGCAAGGCAAAGGAGATTCTAGCTAAGAGAAGGCAAGGGAAGTGGACATTCTTCGATTTTGGATCTCAGAGCATCATCTTGGAGGTATATCTTGGCTTCCTTTTTCGGTTTTTATGATGAACATGGGGGTTTAGGGTTTCTTGATCCCTTTGTTGGTTAGATTTGATGTCCATTTCGTCCATATCCATGATAAGGCTTGAGATGAGATCCATAGAGGTCCAGAAGAGCTGTATTCCTTAAGCTTTATGAGGGTTCATGAGAGTATTGGCCTAGAGTTATGAGATATGGGGCTAAACATCATTTATGAGCAAATAGTTGTTGTTTGAGCCCCAAGGTTTCGACTTTACGTGATTATCATGCTTGGGGAGGCCAGATCTATGAATGTATGGAACAGATCTGACCTTAGGAGTGAGTTTAAGTTGATGCATGTCATGGACTCGCCGAGTCTGAAGAACAGACTCGGCGAGTAGCATGAAGATTGCCCAGCACCACTCAGCGAGTGGTCTTGCCGAGTTAAGGGATTGACTCAGTGAGTCAGGGAGAGTCAGAGTAGGTTGACAGGTGGACTGAGTCAAGCTGGAACTCGCCGAGTTGTTCTTGAGACTCGGCGAGTTGAGTCGTGGAGGCCCCGCAACTCATGCCAGGTGGAACTCGTCGAGTTAGGAGAATAATCGTCGTGTCAAGTGAGGATCCCAGGGAAATTAGTGTATGCGCATAGACTCGCCGAGTCGCTATAGTGCACTCGCCGAGTCCGGTCAAAGTTGACCGTCGACCATTGACTAGTGTTAACCTATGTTGACTTGTTAAGGGATAGTCAACCTTAGTTGTGAAGTGTTATTTGGAGACGTATTGTGTTATAGGAGGACTATAGATCGGGAGATCGAGCACGAGTGATTTCAGGGACTTGCGAGTTACCGAGATATGCGAGGTGAGTCTTCTCACTATACTTTACCTTGAGTAGGTAAAATAGAGTTATGTGATACAGTGTTTGTATGCTATATATGTGTTATGTGTTGCGCTGCATTATTCTATGTGATTTATGTTGTGCATGTTTACAGAGTTAGAACCTGAGGGTTCACAGAGTTTGGGTGCACAGACCCACAGAGTTATAGCCTCGAGTGGCTAATATGTGTTATATGTGGTATTTTGGGGAACTCACTAAGTATTGTGCTTACAGTGTTTGGTGTTATTTGTTTCAGGTACTAGTGATGACCGTGGGAAGGCGCCGGCTTGATCAGTACACACGCATGGGATTTTATGATTTTGAGATCTTGGGATTTTGTATTACTTGGATTAAATTTCAAACATGGTTGTTTTATGAATTTTAAGTGAATTATGTTTTTTTATAAAAATCGAGAAATTTTACAAGGTGATTAGACTCAAGATCGATAATATAGAATCGGCGAACAACGAAGCAATCATCCCTTGGATCCATGATATTCCCTTAAAGGTCAATACTTTTATTTGGAAAGCTAATCTAGGACGTATCCCAACAAATGTGTCGTTAAAGAAGAGAGGAGTCACAATATTTCACTCAACATGCTCCCAATGCCATCTCGAGGATGAAGATTCGGAGCACGTTCTGTTTCGTTGCCCAACGGCGAGCACAATATGGTACCTGATGTTTAAATGGTGCAATATTCCGAATCCAGAATTTCAAACCATCGGAAAACTCATTAGATTTGTAAAAACTTGGGGGAGATGTCAGAGAAGGAGAAACAATCTAATTGGTGTTTGTTATGGTGCCATATGGGTACTATGGAAAAAGAGATGTGACTGGGTGTTTAGGAGCATTCGATCTACCCCCTTCCAGATTATAGATAATGTTAAGTCTCTTGTCCTCGTTTGG